ATGTTTAGCAGCTCGCGAGTCAATACCTCCACCACGTACAGTCAATTATCCTATGACGCAGCAGTTATTTTCCTGAAGAACACAGCGATATGCAAAAATAGCGTTATAATGAATAATACATAATATTGGGGGAAAAGCACATACCACGATAACACGTGAGATGCGTACGCAGGCCGAACAAAGATTGAGGCGCGTGGGCAGCATCTAGAAGCATCGAGCAGCATCCCGCCTTGTGTCATGCGAATCCTAGGCAGCCATACGACCGCTTATTCCTACTCGCGCCACGTAGTTCCGTTCACTCCATCACATTATATCCAATTTGTATCCGCGTTAAAAAAATGTGCTTCGTAATACATTCATCGCGTTTTATATAATTCGCGTCATGCAAACTTTGTATTATAGTAGAACTGGTCTGCGTCGCCTGTAAACACGTGACAGAGTCAGAGTGAGTTTCCGCTAAAATGAGCGATATTGAGGCACTGGTGCTCACCTCACGATTACAGACATGCGGAGCTAGTGGTGGAAATTCACATTCATATGGCAGGATGCGATTCCATCCATATGGAGAAAAAAACTGCTGACTTCGCAAAGAAGTGGTTACTAACGAAGGGAGTTGCTGCGACGTTAACGGTCAGCGCACTGCACTTTCGATCCCAAGGTTCGCCGGCTCGATTCCATCTCCCGGTGCGGCATTTTAACACGAAGCCGCAAGCTTCTTAAATCCTTCCCATGCCTCAGTTCCACTTGGCAGCAGCGGCAGTGGCAGCACCGGTGGCAGCAGCGGCCGCAGTGGCGGCAACAGCGGCAGCAGCGCCAGTGGCAGAAGCAGTGGCTGCAGCAGCAGCTGGAGCAGCAGAGGTAGCAGCGGCAGTGGCCACTCAGCAGAGGTAACAGCGGCAAGTGGCGACAGTGGCAACAGCGGCAGCAGCGGCAGTATTAACGGGTTCACGGCAGTTGGTCGATCGGCAAGGTGAGTTGCGTGTGGTGGGGTAAAGTTCGGATGTGGACGACCTTTTCCATCGCGTCTGGTCAGCGTGGAAGAGTAGGCCGAAGACCACTCTGGCGCGCCCTCTAGCGGAGTCCTCTTCTGCCAGCAGTGATGCGAGCGAGCAGTTGCAGGGCTGCCCCTTTACCTTAGGTCTTCACGGTGGCGAGATGTTAATTACCTCACCTGGTATACAGGAGGTCGTGGGTTCGATCCCAACACTGACGCCTGTGTATTTGGAGTTTGCGTGTCTCTCGCTCCCCGTGATCGCGTTGATTTTTCTCCCGGTCCTCCGATTTTTTCACCCACATTCATAAACACGCGTTTAGATTATTTGTATGCAATAAATGTCCACATGATGATAAGCCACTTCGTTGAGCTATCATCTGTGATAGGCAGGTCGCTTCTAAAAAAAGAGCTACATAGCTCAGTGGGTCTTACACATATTAAAATACAAAATAGTTGAGTTTACCTTTCAACTGGGAAGCGAGGGAGACAGACCACGCGATGACTCTGGCCGCCGCGACGTTTGCACGTCCGCGCACGCCAATCAGTACGGAAACGGTTACCGGTTTCTGACTTTCTGAAAACTGGTAATTCGATGTTGTAAAGAGGTTATTGACGTTTAACAACCCCCTATATCTTCTACTGCTGCAACCTGTTAGAACTTCACAGAATGACAAACAAAGATCCCCCTATAGCCGTAAAATAGTAGCACCTACAATGGCTGTCATGGCACACGAGAACCACGCCCGGCCGCCTGTGTTTCCCCACTGGTGATATTTACACATCGTACCAGGAACTTATATAAGGCTGAGTTGACCCAGACGCACTAAACACAGCAACACACGTACACTTGGTCTTATAGTCAATCACTGCGTGTATTTCCTTTCATCATTTCTCTCAACCGTTAAGAAAGGAGTCTTGCATCGACCGCTAAAGATTTCTATTCATGCGGTTAAGATATATATCAAGTGTCCGTATATGAGTGTGTGTGTGGGGAGTGGTGGCGCAATGGTTAGCGTGCTACGCTATGAACCCGGCAACCCGAGTTCAGGATCAAAATATGTATTTCTATTGGAGGAATCCGATGAGCTATAAAGCTCTTTTTCCCAGATGAGAAGTAGGAGTGCAAAAGTAATCAAATCACGAAAGGTAAACAAATCACAAAACAAGTACAAATAAAACTAAACTATTTTATTTTACCAGGTAAAGCGCACGAAGTTATTAGCTTCTTTTTCATAAGCAACTTGGCCACAAATGGTAGCTCAACTCAGTGGCTTATTATATTCAAATGTATAGCAACCAGATAAACACCAGTGACGATTAACTGAACTGGTGCTGGGTCTCCTCTAGGTTGACAGCCTCAAACGAGTACGTACCTAGTTTTGGTGTGTTAACATCGTCACTGGGGAAACAAAGGCGGCCGTGCGTGGTGTGGGCCATACCACCCTCCTCTTGCGCCTTGTTGGGCTTGATATGGGCTCGATAACAGCTCGTTCCGTAACAGCCTGTTCAAGGCGATAGGAGGGATCTTGGTCTTGATGTACTATTATTTTCACACAGTGGGGAGCGGCAGTGTATAAGTTAGCACGCTGCGCTACGCAGCTGGTTATCCGAGTTCGATTCCCGCTCACGGCCAACATCAGTGAGGATTATTTGAACCGGTCCCGTGTCTCGCTCAGGTCAACTAAACCTTAAAATTAGTATCTGCTTTCATCAGTATAAACATTGGCGTTGAGAAGACGGGAAGACAAAGGTGGCCGGGCGCGGTTTTCTGGCCACACCAACCCGTCGTGTTACTCGTTAACAGCACTTGTCCCAACAGCATGTGGAGGCGACACGGGTACCCTTTGTCTGCGTGTGTGTGTTCCTTACACCCAGGGAACGCGATAGTGTAGCGGTTACCAGCGCTGCGCTACGAATCCAGCGACCCGAGTTCGATCCCGCTCACGGCCACCACCAGTGATGATTATTTAAACAGGTCCTGGGCTTCCCTTAGATCGACTCAATCTCAAAATGAGTCCCTGGTGCGGTGTGTAAACATCGCCACCACGGAGACAAAGACAGCCGAGCGTGGTGCTGGCCACCCACCCGTTTGTGTGCCGCGCTGGCATTCATAGGCGCTCGCGAACAGCACTTGCCCCAACACTCTGTTGAGGCGATACGGGGGACATTTGTCTTTGTCTCTGTCCTCATACCCATCCCACTGACGTCGTGTCCTCTACAGACCATTACACACACGATCCGATCCCTCTCTGGTGACGTGAGGCTCCTCTCAGCCGCGTGGAACCCGCACAGCATATTAAGTGGTCACTTCCACGGGACACACGCCACGTGCTCTCCATACACCCACGGGGACAGTCATGGCACACACACACAGGGGTACCGTACATGTACAATTAAGACAAACATCGTCCCCCCCCCCCTCGCACGGTAGCCATATTTTAACTACATCGCCTGGTATACAGGAGATCTTGGGTTCGATCCTGACCTTGACGCCTGCTGTATATTTGGAGTGGATTTTTCTCCGAGTCCTCCGGCTCCACATGCCACATCACGCGTTTCGAGTATTTGGCTGTTATACATTTCCAATCATAAGCCTCTTCATTGGGCTTTCTGTATGTGGCCAGGTCGCTTTCTGAAAAAAAATACCTCTATAGCTCATTGGGCCTTACCTGGTAAAATAACACAGTTTAAAAATCATTGTATCATGTAGCCCACGCAGACTGTTAGGGAAACTGCATTTAGAGAGTGCCTATTAAGGGCGACACAAGGGTCTGGTATATCCAGCTTCCCGCTCGTGTCTCCTCCGGGTGCTCATTCTTAGACACCGCACCCAGGTTACTACTCATTTATGGCTGAGTCGACCCAGCTACAGGATATTATTCCCACTTTGATTTGTCAGTCTGAAAATCGTGCCCCGGGTTCCTGCCCTGTATTTGTCCCTGCGTCATGCTCGCACAGAATGCAAACAGTTGCATCCGATGCACTTCATCCTTTGAGCTCAGAGCATTAACACCGAACCCTAGAGATGCCCGAGTGGGTCCTTAGGCCTGTCTCTATGAGCTCAATAACACGAGGGTCTCATCACTGACCCGGGTTAAATGAAATCAAGTCGCACTGCTCTTTAAGATTTGTGATGGGTGGCGATCGCTTCAACAAACAGCAACGTCCCTGTGCCCCGGAGAGCCTCACGGAAGCTCAAGACCGTCTCGGGAGTGTACTGCCTCCCCCTTGGAGAATGCTTCGAGGCTATTTGTGCGTGTGTGTGTTCTGAATAATGTCATGAGGAGCGGTGACGCAGCGGTTTAGCGCGCTGTGCTAATGATGCCCAACGACCCCAGTTAGATTACCGCTCACGGCCGACATCAGTGACGATTATCTGTTTACACACTTCACCAGGTACTCATTTGAGGCTGAGTCGACCTAGGGGAGGCCTAGGACCGGTTCAGATATTCGTCACTGGTTTTGACCGTGAGTGGGAATCGATCTCGGTCTGCCGGGTTCATAGCACAGCATGATTTCCGCTACGCTACCGCGCGCCACAATGGCCATCACCACGTGACAAGACACCTCCTCTCCACGTGATGCGACACGTACTCTCCCAATACACGAGCTGCCTATGTCGTTCTACTTCACCGTGCCCAACACTAAACTAAACCATGTTTTATTTTACCAGGTAAGTCCCACTGAGATACGGGGGACCGCACAGTCCAGCCTGGCACACCCTCAGATGGTGGCTCATATCATGCCAGAGTGAGTTCCTAGACAGACCTCCCCTCAGTGTGATCATCTTTGCATTCACATCGCACTCAAATCCATCAGCAAACTTACTGCCTTTATCACATCTCATCTCAAACACGTGAAAAGAACCCCCCTGTAGTAGCTGTTCCTGTGTGGCACAAGGAGACGCAACTCACACGTGACCTGTATACATTCTATGAGACTGCACCCCTACCAGCCCCGCATATGAATGTGGTATTTCCAACCAGTGGCTGCGGGCCCGCCTCACTTGCTCGCATTGGAGTGTGAGTGGAGACCCGGCTGCATTGCTGGGCCGCTGCTGTCCCGTAGAAATTTTCACCACCCCTCGGTCCGAGAAGCCTCCTCTCCGGGGTCCCAGGGCTGAGCGTGCGCGCCGCGGATTCAGCCCGGGGTTTGGAGCGTGGCAAAGAGTGGGGGCGGAGGGAGATCGCAAGTGGAAAGTGAAAAGGCAACAGTCGCCACGCACGAGCAGCAGGAGCGTCGCGTCAGCCCTCGCTCGCCGAGTGCGGCGCGACACGTAGCCACCGCACATGACAACGACGCTGCTGCTGCACGCTTGCACGCTACCCCTGGCCCGCCCACGACCTTGTGATGACAACGACCCCCAACGTCAGCTCCAATGCCGCAACTAATGCCACAATTAATGCCAACAGCCGAACAAAAGCTCTGCCACTGACCCTAGCGCTGACGACAAGAATAACGCTCAAACGAAACTAACAACATCCCTGGTACTAACACGAACAATAACCCTGTTACTAACACTAACAATGACCCTGGTACTAACGATAGCAATAACATTGGTATAAACACGAACAATAAACCCGGAACTCACACTAACAATGATCCTGGTGCTAACAATGACCTGGGTACCAGGAACACATAGGCAGTGAACTCAAGCACGTACACCAAGATCTTAAGGCTAATGGTTACTCCGACTATACAATCCGCAAAGCTATCACTCAAACCATGAAGAAGGACCCTCTTGAGGAACCTTTCAAAACCATCACTTTACCCTACATTGCGGGGATCACAAAAAAGATCTCCAAAATCTTGAATAAACACAAGATCCAGGTCCATTTCAACACATTACATAAAATCCGTGATCTGGTTCCATCTGTTAAAGATGTGATTCCGGACATACAGTACCCTGGTGTCTACAAACTAAGTTGCCTCTGTGGTAGTAGAGAAACCAAACTACATGTCTCGGACCGCATTCGTGAACACAAAGCAGACCTTAAACACGGTAGGACCAACACCTCGGCCGTGGCACATGTTATAATTCAGTAGGCTCACATGACATTGACTTCTCCAATGTCATGTGAGCCTACAGAGGTTATTTGCAAGCCATCGGGCTACCATGAGAGATTCATTCATGAGGCTATCCACATATACAAACACAGAGACAATTTCAACCGAGAAGATGGATTCTGGCTTAGCAATCATTGGAAGTATTTGATAAACCATTTCGGGTCTTAATTGATTGTTCACGCTTACGGTGACTTTCAGACAGCATACATTAATTTTTCGTCTCCCCCCTCCTCTTTTCCGAACATAGATGGACTCGTACTTCTAAACAAACTGTCAAATCGCTATCCGTGGTGCTAACGTTTAAAAATAAATAAATACAAACCGCCACTTCTTTCAAATGTTTCTTGCCGTTGGTTTTCACACCTGATGATGACTGTTTGTGTTACAGTCGAAACGTCGTGAGAATTTTATTGTTTTATATATTTTATTATTTTATTGTTTCCCTTCAACGTGACTTTACCGAAAGAACCAAGAATATAAATGACCCTGGTATTAACACTTACCATAATCTAGTACTAACACGAACAATATCCATAGTAGTAACAGCAGCCCTGATGCTGTCAGAGTTAGCTAAAATAACATACATTTTCCAATCCATGGGAATGTTTGATCCTTGTCATGAACAATTTTCATATTTTGGAGTAGATCGTCCTTGTAGGTTACCATGTCAATTTTGTATTCACGATAACCTTCCACAGAGCCATCAAGTAACGTTGTCACGTGCTGTATAAACATGCCGATTGGTTTATTCAGCAAACCGGAGGAGGATGATGAATATTGAACTGTGAATACGAATGCTGGTCAATTTTGTTGGACGACGTTTTGCTGGTACAACCAGCATCGTGAGGTGTTACAACAGCTCAGCTCTCAGGTGGCATATTTACCCCACGACGTGACATCTCGGTGGCGAGAAGATAACCACCTCGACTGGTATACTGGGTCGTAGGTTCGATCCCGACCCTGACGCCTGTATATTTAGAGTTTGCGTTGTCGTGTGGATTTTTATCCGGGTGCTCCAGTTTTCCCTACACATTAAGAAATATCCATTTTGAGTTTTTAGCTGTTATAAATTTCCACGTGATAAGCCACTTCGTTGAGCTATCATTTGTGAAAGCCAGGCTGCTTCTGAAAAAGAGCTACATTGCTCAGTCGGCCTTACCTGGGAAGAAAAAAAAGTGGTTTGATTGGCTCTTTCGCTGGGTGGCGGAGGGTAATAGATAAACAATTGATATGACACCTATACAGAATCACAATATTGATTTACGTTGGAGGAATCCGATGAGCTATAAAACTCTTTTTCACATATGTCCAGTAGGGAGGCACGGGGTCAGAATGTTACATGACGATCTGGCCCAAAATAAACTGATTATGAATCTTTACATCGGTCCTGCGTATCCCGTTCGCCAGTGCTCTTGATGACGGTGGAGGCCAGGACAGGTCGACATGGGGTCACTCGCCGCTGATGTTCGCCTTGACTAGGTATCGAACTTAGCAGGACAGGGTTCAAGGTGGGGGTTAATGACACAATAACGGGAAAGCCGATAGATACATCGTTTGCAGAATTGATAAAGTAGGTGGAGGATGGTTAGCGTTTCATTATTAGCTGATCTGTAAGCAGTGTCACAGTAGTCAAAACGTGGGAGAATGAGAGGTTCAACAATTTTAAGGCGAAATCGATTGGAAACACAATGTTTCTGTATGAGAACCATATTTTTAGTTTTAGATATGATCAATATGAGATTGAAATGTAAGGTTTGAATTAGTCAGTAAACCCGAGTATTTGAAGCACTCCGTTTGTTCAATGATGTTGTTTCTGATATCCGTTATAATTGGCATTGACTATTCCTTTGTCTGTTACAGATACACATATACACAAGGACAAAATAAAACAATCCATCTAGTCTTGTATGTCCGTTATAATTGGCAAGTGCTCTGAGAGAGCACCTACACTACAGTGAGGTAAAAAAAAAGTATTTGATCCCCTGCTGATTTTGTACATTTGCCCATTGACAAAAAAATGAACAGTCTATAATTTTAATGGTAGGTTTATTTGAACAGTGAGAGACAGAATAACAATAAAATCCAAACAAACGCATGTCAAAAATGTTATAAATTGATTTGCATATTAATGAGGGAAATGAGTATTTGACCCCTCTGCAAAACATGACTTAGTACTTGGTGGCAAAACCCTTGTTGGCAATCACAGAGGTCGGACGTTTCTTGTAGTTGTCCACCAGGTTTGCACACATATCAGGAGGGATTTTGTCCCACTCCTCTTTGCAGATCTTCTCCCAGTCATTAAGGTTTCGAGGCTGACGTTTGGCAACTCGAGCCTTCAGCTCCCTCCACAGATTTTCTATGGGATTAAGGTCTGGAGACCGGCTAGGCCACTCCAGGACCTTAATGTGCTTCTTCTTGAGCCACTCCTTTGTTGCCTTGGCCGTGTGTTTTGGGTCATTGTCATGCTGGAATAGCCATCCACGACCCATTTTCAATGCCCTGGCTGAGGGAAGGAGGTTCTCACCCAAGATTTGACGGTACATGGCCCCGTACATCGTCCCTTTGATGTGGTGAAGTTGTCCTGTCCCCTTAGCAGAAAAACACCCCCAAAGCATAATGTTTCCACCTCCATGTTTGACTGTGGGGGTGGTGTTCTTGGGGTCATAGGCAGCATTCCTCCTCCTCCAAACACGGTGAGTTGAGTTGATGCCAAAGAGCTCCATTTTGGTCTCATCTGATCACAACACTTTCACCCAGTTGTCCTCTGAATCATTCAGATGTTCATTGGCAAACTTCAGACGGGCATGTATATGTGCTTTCTTGAGCAGGGGGACCTTGCGGGCGCTGCAGAATTTCAGTCCTTCACGGCATAGTGGGTTACCAATTGTTTTATAGGTGACTATGGTCCCAGCTGCCTTGAGATCATTGACAAGATCCTACCGTGTAGTTCTGGGCTGATTCCTCACCGTTCTCATGATCATTGCAACTTCACGAGGTGAGATCTTGCATGGAGCCCCAGGCCGAGGGAGATTGACAGTTATTTTGTGTTTCTTCCATTTGCGAATGATCACACCAACTGTTGTCATCTTCTCACCAAGCTGTTTGGCAATGGTCTTGTAGCCCATTCCAGCCTTGTGTAGATCTACAATCTTGTCCCTGACATCCTTGGAGAGTTCTTTGGCCTTGGCCATGGTGGAGAGTTTGGAATCTGATTGATTGATTTCTTCTGTGGACAGGTGTCTTTTATACAGGTTACAAGTTATATAAAGACACCTGGAAGCCAGACATCTTTCTGATTGAGATGGGTCAAATACTTATTTCCCTCATTTAAATTCAAATCAATTTATAACATTTTTGACATGCGTTTTTCTGGATTCTATTGTTGTTATTCTGTCCCTCGCTGTTCAAATACACCTACAATTAAAATTTTAGACTGATAATTTCTTCGTCAGTGGGCAAACGTACAAAATCAGCAGGGGATCAAATACTTTTTTCCCTCACTGTATGAAGTCTGGCACAGCACACGAGGGGATTGGGTGGCCAGCATCACGCCCGGCCTCCTTTGTCTCCCTAGTGGCTATGTTTACATACCGCACCAGGTACTCACTGAGGATGAATCGACCTACGGGAGGCCCAGGACCAGTTCAGATAATCGTCACTGGTGTTGGCCTTGAATTGAACTCGGGTTGCCAGGTTTGTAGCACAGCGTGCTAACTGCTACATCACCGCTCCCCAGAACAAGCGCACCCATACACATGCACACACGTACATACATACACAAACGTACACGTATCCACATGTAACAACAACAACCGCCATTCGCCATTAAGTGGCGGTGACGTCACTACGGCGATTGTGCCAAGCTGTGTCCACGTTGAGGCCACGTGAAGTGTCGAACGCCCGCTGGCTGGAGGTCACAAGGCAGACCCAGGTGCGACGGATCGACTGAGATGACTGGCCGATGGGCCACCTGTGCCCCCTACTGTGCTAACTTGCTTTGCGTCGCTCCTCTGCACTCCGTTGTTGAAGGACGACTGCCTACAACTCCCCAGTAGCATCCTTCACGAGCCTTCTCCAGAGTCCGATCTTGACACCGCTGGTACCAGTCATCGGCAAGTCCACTCAGCTCCACATCCTCCTGTACCACATTATTACATATCTTCTCTAGCCCGTGCCACGCCCATTTAGTCCCCTCTATCCGGCCTAACAAATGCTGTTTAGGCATGCGGTGGCTGGGCATGTGGGCTACATGACCCAGCCA